TTGATTAATAAAATATTGTTATTTCATTTAATTTTGTTTTTTATAAGTTATTTATAGTTTAAAAGTGTTTACTATTTTTAGATTTACGATCGTTTGGATTTAATATTGAATATTTTTTATTAAAAAACACTCAAAATTGAAAATATAATTTATACGTATTTTGTTAAAATGCATAAGGTTGAATAACAACTGTATCAACACTAATTAATGCAATAATCTGAATGTAATGTAATGTAAATAAAGCTGAAATCAAAAATAACTTTTAATTAGTTTTATAATTTATAAATTTATTTATAAAAAGAGCGCACAAATGAACAAAATTATAAATAATTATCAAAATGAAAGTTATTATTGTTTTGTGCGCTCTTCTGGTGGTGTCGACCATCTGTTACGGCGCCGCCATTCAGTCCGATGTCTTTCCCGAAGGAGATCTGGGAGTGAATGAGATCCAAAAGGACCAGGAATGCAATCGCGGAGTGACCACAAGTGGCGATGGATCCAGTGGTGATAATGGTATGCCTTTTGAACTATCTAGTTGAATCCAATATTTTAGTCTAATGATTAGACTCTAATCTAAAAATGCACATTAAATATGAATGTAATAATAGGTGGAACTCAAAACAGTCAGGGAAGAAATCGGGGCGCAAATCGGGGTGCAAATCGTGGCCGCAATCAGTAAAACTGATGACTATTTAATTCATGTTTATTGCTTTGATTAATTGTTATTTCATCTAATTTTATTTGTTTATAATTCAATTTATTTATAATGAAAGGTAATTATTTAATATTTTTGGCATTAAAGTTATGGTTAAATATTAAATGAAAGTTATTTACAATAAAAATAAAAATATATAAAAAGTATAAAAATAATTATAAAATTTACGATTTTATAAATTTTAAAGCATAAAGTTAAATTATTCACTTATGAACTTATCGTTATGAAATTTAAATTAAACTTATATAGAAATTATTATCTCACGCTGTATCGTGTATTTACGTGTATATCGATCATGGTACATTTGATCGATAAGAAAAGAATTAAATAGCAATAAAAATATTATTTTAACTAATATTTCATAATAACTTATAATGTAAATATAAAAATCGTTAAATAACTAATTTTAATGTTTAAAAACTAACGTTAAAACCGCTGATAGAGTGGAATAAAAAATTTAAATTTATAATCATATGAGTTGTAGACGTAAATAGCAATTTATTTAAATATAATAGAAGTAAAAAGTTTATGGTTACATTGTTTGAATTTATAATTAATCGCATAAATTTGAAGCTTTCGCAATTTAATTTTTCCGATTTAAAAACAAACACAAAGATTATATAATAAATATTTGCATATTTATAAATAAAATTAATATTGTTTGACACAAAATCTATTAAAAAACTAATTCATATTTACATTACATTAACAGTTGGGGTAAAAATAAGTTGTATAGTAAAGTATGTCAATCAACAAAATTCATAATTGCATTTAAGATGTGAATATCGGTCTCCTATTGCCGTATAAGGCATTCAATATTTATCATTTAAGGTTTTATTTTTGTTTTCAAACTTTTTTTCATAAATCCACACAATATTATGGACTCATATGAGATGAGAGACACGTATGCCATTCTAGTGAAGGGTTTTTCAATATTTATATTCTTATCTGAAATTTATATTTTAGGGAATTTTTATTTATATTTTTTTCGATAATTTAAAAATTTTAATAATAAAAAGAAATTTAATTGATGGACAAATTCCAACGATTTATAAAATGAATTTTAAATGCATTTAAATTGATCATGTGTACTTTTACAAAACTGTTGCCATTACTACTGGCAATGACTTACAAACGTTGTTTGAAACAGCGTTTTATTCACCAATCATTCGGAGAGAAATTTAATATTTTAAAGTTAAAAAATTGTTGTAAAAACAACTTTCAAAGTAAAACTACAGATATATTTCTGTAGAATCCTTGACGTGATTCTACACATCCATCAATTAATATACATGTAATGCATGGATGGCCTCAAACTAAACGCATAGATATTGGACAAGAATCTGAATGTCCACGTGTTGATCACACCATAGCAATCAGGTATAGTCAGGTAATAGTGTGCACAGCGTTTGGTGTGATTGTTAGGGTATATAACTGAGGGATAGGTTAGTTAGGCGCCCAATTGGAGCGGTTGAGAACCAGATCGATCTTGTGCTGAATTCTGTGCCTCGCAATCAGGTTTTCACTTCATTTACACATTAATCGCAATTCAAGTTTTTATCATTTCGTACAGACTTTGTCGAGAAGTCATTTTGAAAAGTTGTTGTCAAGTCTTTTATAGTGAATAAACACATACAGTCGTGAAGAGTATATCCAAAAGTGTTTTGCATCTAAATTCATTGAAACATTCAATTCTTATCGATAAGTTCAACATTGGAAGTGAAAAACATTGTCGTTTTCAAAGACACTTTTCTAAAACATTAATTCGCTTTTAATTCACTTTTACGGTCGCATTATTGCCATTATGTGTACTCATGTCAACTGAAGACAAAAAAGTTCCCATATCTTTTCAATCATTTGTTGCGTTAATCGAAAATTTG